GTAAAACTTTTATTTTTTAGGTTCGGAGTGAATACATTTTAGAATGTGTTTTAATTTTTAGTTTTTTTGTTTAGTTTTTTTGTATAACTTTGTGGCTTTTTTTTCTAGGCTTGTAGCCTTTAAATTTTTAGCACCAGTTCTGTTGTCAAATTTTTCACTTTTCATTTATATATTTTACAACTATTCCAATATCATAAAGAGAAAGAAGATAAAAACATATTCGAGTCTTTTGCATTGATTTTAGAACTCATGAGGTGGAACATATATAGCTCACAAACCAAATGTTAGGGTTCCTTAAACAGGTCCGGCCCACTTGTGTTATGGACCTTGTGCCAAAAATTTTTTTTAGAAATTATGGGATCTTTTTATAAAACTGACATAAATTAAGGGTCTTTTTTAGCAATTTTATAAAAATTTAAGACCCTTTTTATAAAAATTTCTAACCAAAATTGTGAAGTTATGGACTAGGCCTTGTGCATAAGCACTCTTTGCACACCTTATGGGTCGGGTCTGCCCTTAAATGATACATGAGCAGCTCAATTATAACTTTGACTAATACTTTCTTCCTTTATTTTTTACTCGAATTTTGACTAATATTAAAGAAATTCATAATTCTAATTTGATGTTAATTTAAAGTTTCGGTTAAGTACGTTGTTGTTTTGTTACAAACTATTCTAATTACTTACAGGTTTGGGAGTCAGCTGAATCTCATAAAATCACCTTACACTATTGGGTGCTCTAACAGCCTTGTGGCTATTGGTTGCAACAACCATGCCTTGTTAACAAACCTTGCGCCTAGAATTTGTGGGATGCACTTCATCTTGCAAAACAACAAGGACCAAAAATAAAAGAACGTGCAGCGGTTATGAATGCTACCGGATACACACGCATGAGAGAATATGATATGTAATTGGTATAAGCATAAAAGACATTAGTGGTAACACATCATTAGGAGGTTGCAAAGTGGTCTTTCAAACATACATGTTTAACATACATACATGTTTTCACTACTTACACAGTTTAATCTATCTGTTAGAAAGACATTATCGTTTCGGTTAGGATTTTGATTTATAGTTCCTAGAACAAAACATTACTTCTGTGTATAAACTAAAAAAATATTACAATAACCAACAAATGAGATCATGTTTTCTAATTACTTTTTCTCCAACTAATATTTTCAATTCTCATCCAAAAAATTACACTAAGATATAAAGATTTAACTAATTCAAACATTCTATAAGTTATTGTCGACATTCATATCAATAGATGAACTCACATTATCACCTATATGTCATTTTATCATTTTTGTGCATTTGTTAAGAAATTTTGAGCATTTTTTTGTGTGTTTTTTCTTTCTTTCTGTAAAATCAAATTTTGGACCATCAAATGATTTAATCATGTCGTAAGCCATAATTATCTATAACTAGATGTATACAACATCCATATTAAAACATAATAATTTAATGAACAACCAACATATATTGTTTTTAGCTAGACTTTATTATCATTTAGACCATAAGCTACTTACAAACTCAAGGTAATTTGAAATGATCAACACGATAAAAGATATACCTTAGCATAGCAAGGGATGAAATATATT